GGGAGGGGGGGGTGGCCGGTGCCTTTGCTCCGCTCCGGAGCCGCCGAGTGCTACAACGTGGCGGCCGTGGCTGCGGGAGTCAGCGGAGCGCCCCGCGACCTCTGGGCACGGTTGTCGGGACCAGGAGGCGTTTAGGGTGCTCCATGTCGTGTAAAAAGTAATGAAATACTGGGAACACGAGACCTCAAATACAGCGTCTGCTGAGAAATGAGAAGAAAGTACAAAAGGATTTTTATTTTTTTTTCCAGGAAAATAGAAAGCCAGGCCACCTGATGATGCATTTTGTCCAGGGTCTTGTCGTCAATGATATAAAACATCTCCAAACGTGGGAATCACGCAAAAAAACTAGGAAAAGTGGTTTGGAGTTTACTCATGGAGTTTTCCTCCAAATCCCTTTCTCTCAGTTTGTGTAATGTCTTGAATTGCACTGTTTAGTTTTTTCTCTCAAGTCTGTTTCTAAAGCCCTAGTACTAAGATAAGTCAAGATAGTTCTGCAAGTTACTACATACGTTGTGGTTTGATAGAGGGTGAACTGAAGAGGTATTCCTCTTTCTGCCCTTATTTTTACCATAAAATAATGCTAAGGAATACACCCAAAAATATAGCCTACACAGTTCTGAATAGCTAGTGCTATTCTGGCAGGATAGAGGATTTACCTTTGATTTTTTTCCCCTCCTTTTTTTTAAAAAAAATAAAGTGTTTTAGACTGATTCACCACATTTGTTTACTTATTTATAATCTTGATCGATAAGTGTTTCACAGGGTACCATTTTCAATTTTTATTGTGCTTGATACCTCTTTGTGCTTGCTTAGCACTCAAACAGCTCAAACACAACAGAGCCAAAACAATACACTTTTTTTCATAGGGTTTCACCACATTTCTCCTGTTGATAAGGTACCCCAAATTCAATGGTTGTCTAGGCCTGTAACTTTAGTATTTTCCATTCAGACAAGTTTCTCAAGTATCCTTGAAAAACTCATCTCAATGATGCTTTCTATATAAGGTCCCTAACGTGGTTTCTTCTATTTTATAATCTCACAGCTTATTTTTACTGCAGTTCCTCTCTTCCTTTTGTTCCCCTTCCACTGTCAGCCCCTCACGGCCAAGGCTTCCTTCACACCAGTTCTGCCTCTCAGCTCAGCCCTTGGTAAACTGATGCAGCCCCCTGAGGCAGCAGGAAACCAATCCAAAGGAAAATTAAACATTTCTTGCTGCTTTTATAAGCTGGATCACTTCACCAAGGATGGGAGCACAAGAGCTTGCAAAAAAAAAAAAAAAAAGGAAGGAAGAGGGGAGGTCGGTGAGGAAAGAGGAAGAGAGGATAGCCCATTTCAACAAGGATGAGCTCTTAATTCAACTCAGTCATCTCACTGAGCCATCCCTGAGAACATACGTATAATTCATCTGGGTAGGCAGTAACCTGTTAAACTTCAGTAACTCCATTGTGCTTGAACTAGTATATAAAGCAATAACTGCAGTTTGTAAGCTTTCTATATCGTGTATTTATACATCAGCTTTGGGATCTTGTTCTGTGACAGGATTCCTAGCCATATTGTGTAAAACCAACAGGAATTTTCATGAGATCACAGAATAACAGTAGATATCACAGAAGTATTCTCCAGTCCCATGGGAATGTAGCATTCACACCCTTCACAGTAGCTGCATAGAACACAGTCTGCAAACAACTACAATTTCAATTCTTCCTGCAGTGGCAAACCCATCAAGAGATAAAATTGTCCTTAGACTAGGTGAAGGTGTTTGCTTTAGGAAGTTACACCAGCTGACTACAGTTGCCAAAATACCTGACTTCTCTGCTTACTTTTTGCTCTGAATACCTAAATAGCAGCAAAGAGCAAAGAGAGTATTTGTAGTCTGCAGTGGGTATGAGCATCCAGTGACAAGTGATGAATGGGAAATCAATATTACTCTCTTCACTTGACAGGTTGATTACAGAAGGGGCAATGCTGGTACCCAAGTTCACAATAAAATATAAATTTATAAGACTTATTATGCAAACTTTCTGCTTTTAAAGTTTCACCATAGTGAATTTAAAATATACACTATCCCTCAAACACAAAGCAATCAGCTGGTGTTTGAGAACGGTCTGTTTATGGCTACAGCTGCAAAAGAACATAGTTCCTATTTTGCTAGATTAAGGACATGGGCTGACATCCTACTTTTGATTTATCTGTGTTAGTGAAAGACATTAAGTCAGGATTAGTGGGAGGCAGCAGGCCCTTCATCTTAAACAGTGCTTGCCTAAGTTCTCAGCTGACAACCTCCCTCCCACGTGGGTTGCTCCTGCCGTGGTGGTGAGCACTCACAGAGTGCTTTTGGCTGCTGTTCTTTGAGGCACGCGACTTCTCGTCAGAGATAGTAACCATCTGTGGTGGGGGAGAGCAGTACCTTAACTCAGGCTGGGTTAGTCTCATGAGCTGTATCAGTTCCTGAAGAGAAGGTAAAAGAGCTACAAAGACACCGTCCTTTTAAGGTCACACTTTAATCATGACAGATTTGTGGATTTACATGTGCTTGCTCATCCAAAGAGCTGCTGACACCCAACCAGGGTTCCTCAGCCTGGTCTATTCCAGGCCATGAAGAGAGGGAAGAACTCAGCTAAAGGGTGGCGTGAGTTGATGGCTCTGCTTTTCCTTCAGTATTTCACGTTTCCAGCCAGGTTTTCCACTCATTGCTATGCCACTAATATAATAAATCAACACACTTGTCCTCCTTCCCCTTTTTCCTAACACTGCTGCCATTTTTGGGCAACATCTGCTCTTCATTCCCAGCCCAATATTAATAAAGCAATAAGCAAAACAGGATGTGCATTAGAGGCTAATGGGCTTTAGGTCCTCCTGGAGCGTGAGCACTGGGAAGCATAAAGCGAAAGGACATGTAACTTCCCTCCTCAGGGACTCTCACCAAGCTAGTGTCCTAATGAACTCCTGAGGGCAGCTCACCGCTGGAAGAAAGTAGCTCATTATTTTTATTTGGGATGTCAGAGAGCACACTTATAACAGCAGATCCTAAACTAAAGAGCTCGTTTAGTACAAGGAATGAGCTTAACCACACTCAGATATTGTTCAGATTAATCTACCATAAGGTTTGTTGGTCTCCAGAGAAGAGCTACCTACAGTTTCATGAATGAAATACAGAAGCCATGAATTCCAAGGAATTGCAAAGCAACAGGGGAAAGGAAGAAAAGAGAAAGATAGTCTCAGAAGTAATGGTTAAACTAAGGGGTGACAGCTATCATCATTAAAACGATACATGTCAGAGAAGAAAGGGCTACCTTTTCTCACTGAGGTCATTCCTTTACACTGTAGTCTGACCTGTGGCATGCCCTCCCATCCAGGGAGCAGCCCCACGGTCCACAACAGGGCCAGGGCAGTGGGAGCAATACATTCAGTTGGCTGTCCAATGATGATCAGACACAGAGAGTTGATGAGGTGGGCTTCCGTCAGTGCAGGGGGCCCGGTCAGAAGCAGCAGGTGGTAAGGCTACCTGCAAAGGGTAGCACGGGGAAGTCTCTGACATGCCTTGCACATCGCAGGGCTGAATCTGGCACCATGCCTATAAACTTGGGCTCCCCTTTGAGTGCCTAGTAGCAGGATAAAGCCCATTCCACCTATACTAGTCATAGTGATGGTTCTGTAGGTCTTACTGTTTTATTTTAGAAGATACCAAGTCTCAGGAGGTAAATTATAGTGAATTTACTTGAGATAATTTTAACAGTTGTGTTCAAAATTAGACTTTCCTTCTCAAGCAAGAGCCCAAGTGTGTTTGAAAAGGCGAGTCGAGCATTTTAAAAATGGACTGAGTCTCAATTATTTAGGTCTATCTCCTAAACAAGTACACACAGAAAAGCTCTTATTTTGAAAAATAAATTTAAGTGTAAAAAGGCTCAGTTGTTTTTATGCAGGAGTATAAGAATAAAATAAAATAAAATTTAAAAAAAAATAGAAGAGAAAGCATAGAAGACACAGGGAGGAACTAAATCATGTTTTATTTTTCTACATACCATTAACCTCTGGAAATCATATTGATAAATACCCAGAGGCAGGGACTCTAATTCCCAGTCCTGCAACATGTCAGACTGTGCTGGAAATCTGTCTAGTGGGGCAGAGGGAAGGGAGAGGGCACATGAAGCTTTCAGAGTCAACACAGGACCTCTATATGAGCAGTCTCTCAGGTCTGAGGAGAGCCGTGAGGGCTTCCTCCATCCCTGTGCTGAGGAGAGGAGCAAGCCCTTTCCTCTGCTCTGGAGCCCCTTACTCAGGCACGACAGAGTGCTGAGACTTTGGGCAGCTTTGAGCCACATCTCAATCCACAGTGCAGTGCTGCAAGTGCTGCATTCTAGCCTCAAGCAAGGAATATCTAAAGGCAGATAATCCTCCAGCTAATCATCAAAGGTATCTTTTTTCCAAGTTATTTACAAGTAAAATATACCAGATTATTAAACACCGGGATACTTTGTTAGGAATGTATGCAAGGCTGTGGTAGCCTAGCAGCAATAAGATGAGATACCATATATGCCTTGAATGCAAAGACACATTTAGTGCCTATAATTATTTCCTAAGATCTATACCTCTGGCTTTAAGGCTTTTTTTTTCATACTGCCACAGCAGTATCAGGCATTAAGGAGACAGGAGCGACTCACACAGTCCACATGGGAGAGGAGTTGTACTGTGCCTTTCTATGCCATTTGATTATGTTCACATTTTTTCCCTGCAAGTCCCAGTTCCTCTACTAATCCTGCTTTTAAAATGATATAAGCATTCGTCTGAAACCGTGGAAGCATCGTTTGAACCCAGGATCAAAGCCATGAACAAAGACTAAACCAGATTTCCCTCTCACTCTCGTTCACAGAGATCTTGTTTCTCAGCATCTGCCGCTTTATTTCAATGTCACCTTTCAGCAGCCTTTTGGCAAGAATTCTATAT